CCTCACGAGGGATTCCGCTTTTGCTTCGGGCCGCTCCTCGGATGCAGGCCGGGAGCTGATCTGTGGTCGAGGCTCGCCGTGGCCAGAACAGCCCCTTCGCTATCTATCCAGCGTTCAATGAGGAGGAGGAGAAGAGAGGAGGAGGAGGGGGAGGAGGAGCAGGAGGAAGAGGAGGAGGAGGAGGAGGACCAGGAGGAGGAGGAGGAGGACCAGGAGGAGGAGGAGGAGGAGGAGGAGGAGAAGGACGAGGAGGAGGAGAAGGACGAGGAGGAGGAGGAGGAGGAGGAGGAGGAGGAGGAGGGCTTCTGCAGCCCTCGGACGCCTTCGGTTGGTCAGAGCTCGACGGGAGCGCCGTAATGGCGTCACCCAGCGGCCTTGGGCGTCCCCGGCTCGGTCGACTCGGTGACGCAGACCGATGTCTGCTCGCGGCCTCGACCGGCTCGGTCCACGTCGCGTGCGCGCCGCGGTGACACGGCGGCGACCCCAGCGCGGGCGTGCAAGGCTGAGCGCGCCAGTCTAGTAGCCCAGAATCGCCCGATGCCGAGCGACCTGCGCAATCGGACAGCCGCGATCGCTCAATGCTGAACGGTCTGCGCGCCGCCAGAGACTGGCACCCTCGTCGTCGCGTCGCGGACCCGCCATAGGCTCGTGGCCGATTGGCTCGACTATGATCAGGGGCAACGTTGGGAGAGAATAGGCTCCGGGTGGATGTATCGGCCAATGGCCCATTGATCGCCGATAGGGGCCCGATGGCCCCAGCCCGCTTGGGAGCAGTCAGATGCGCTATCGGGGGCACACCGTCGATATACCGATGATGCATCGCGGATTGGAGGTCGATGTTCCCCCCTTTGAGCTGGTTCCATTTCTCGTTCCCGGTTCCCTGTCAGGAGGAGTAGGAGGAAGAGGAAAATCAAAAGGAGCAGAAGGTGCAGGAAGGTCGGGGGGGTCAGGGGGGTCAGGAGGGAGACGAGGAGGAGGAGGATGAGGAAGAGGAGGAGGCGGAGGAGGAGGAGGAAGAGGAGGAGGAGGAGGAGGAGGAGGGCTGCGTTCACCGAACACTCTAGCCGACAGGAACCAGGATCCAGGACAAGGAAAAGGATTATGATGATGATGATGATGATGATGATGATGATGATGACGATGACGATGACGATGATGATGATGATGATGATGATGATGATGATGATGATGGTGATGATGATGACGATGATGATTATTATTGAGTGATTATGATGGTGATATTGATGATGCTGATGATGATGCTGATAACGATGATGATGATACTGATGCTGTTGATGCTGATGCTGATGATGCTGATGCTGATGCTGATGCTGCTGATGACGATGCTGATGCTGATGATGATGATGGTGGTGGTGGTGATGATGATGCTGATGATGCTGATGATGATGGTGGTGATGATGATGATGATGATGATGATGATCATGATGATGATGCTGATGATGATGATGATGATGATGATGATGATGATGATGATGATGATGATGATGATAACGATGACGATGACGATGACGATGACGAGGAGGAGGAGGAGGAGGAGGAGGAATAATCGGGAGTATGAGGAGCGGGCGCGGCCACGCCCCGGGGGCCGAGGAGCCCAGGCCCAGCTGGGGCCATGGAAGGATCACGACGGAGGGCCCCTTGCGAGGAGGGCGAGGAGGAGGAGGAGGAGGAGGAGGAGGAGGAGGTGGAAGAGGTGTTGGAGGAGGAGGAGGAGGAGGAGGAGAAGGATGAGGAGGAGGAGGAGATGTGATCAGGTGGCGGAGGAGGAACAACAGGGAGGAGGAGGAGGAGGAGGAGGAGGAGGAGGAGGAGGAGGAGGAGGAGGAGGGAGGTGGAGGAGGAGGAGGAGGAGGGCTGCGTTCACCGAACACTCTAGCCGACAGGAACCAGGATCCAGGACAAGGAAAAGGATTATGATGATGATGATGATGATGATGATGATGATGATGATCATGATCATGATGATGATGATGATGATGACGATGATGACGATGATGATGATGATGATGATGATGATGATGATGATGATGATGATGACGATGATGATTATTATTGAGTGATTATGATGGTGATATTGATGATGCTGATGATGCTGATGATGATGCTGATAACGATGATGATGATACTGATGCTGATGATGCTGATGCTGATGATGCTGATGCTGATGCTGATGCTGCTGATGACGATGCTGATGCTGATGATGATGGTGGTGGTGGTGGTGGTGATGATGCTGATGATGCTGATGATGATGATGGTGGTGATGATGATGATGACGATGATCATGATGATGATGCTGATGATGATGATGATGATGATGATGATGATGATGATGATGATGATGATGATGATGATGATAACGATGACGATGACGATGACGATGACGAGGAGGAGGAGGAGGAGGAGGAGGAGGATGAGGAATAATCGGGAGTATGAGGAGCGGGCGCGGCCACGCCCCGGGGGCCGAGGAGCCCAGGCCCAGCTGGGGCCATGGAAGGATCACGACGGAGGGCCCCTTGCGAGGAGGGCGAGGAGGAGGAGGAGGAGGAGGAGGAGGAGGAGGTGGAAGAGGTGTTGGAGGAGGAGGAGGAGGAGGAGGAGGAGGAGAAGGATGAGGAGGAGGAGGAGATGTGATCAGGTGGCGGAGGAGGAACAACAGGGAGGAGGAGGAGGAGGAGGAGGAGGAGGAGGAGGAGGAGGAGGAGGAGGAGGGAGGTGGAGGAGGAGGAGGAGGAGGAGGAGGAGGAGAGGAGGAGGAGGAGGAGGAGAAGGGAGGAGGAGGAGGAGGAAGAAGAGGAGGAGGAGGAGGAAGAGGAGGAGGGAGGTGGACGAGGAGGAGGAGGAGGAGGACGATGACGTGGCTCCTTCCCTGGAGGCTCGGGGGCGGGGGGGCAAAGCAGTCCCAGCCAGGCAATCAGCAAAGACGAATCGAAGCGTCCTGGAGTCATGCCTTGGAGGGAGAGAAGAGGGCTGGGGAGATGGAGAGGAGGACGACAGGAATGCGTCAACGAGGCTGCGATACTCCCTCGCGACCCCAAGTCCCTTCAGAAGGCCCCGCTGGCCTCTTTGTGTTCGCTGCGAGAGGCGCCCCCTCCCCCTCCCTGGAAAGACGAGCACACTGATCATGGGCGTGCCGTTTATTCGATAGCCCCGAAGGAACCGCGGTGCACCATTCGATCGAGCTCGGGGGAACCCACCGACGTAGGACCCTACAGCTCAACGGCGTGTACAGCGAGAGCTTCGCTTCGACAAGGGGCCATGGGATCCAAGGAGGTTCGAAGCGAAGACCACAATTTGGAAACCAAGCGCCCTCTCCGTGCAGCTGATCTGGGTTCCCAACCTTCGGGCCACCACATCCCAGGACGTGCCAAGCGAGAGCAACACACTTCGCAAACTCCGTGACAATTATGTTGGCAAGCTTGCAGCACTAATGTGCGCGGCGCTCAGGCGAGAGTTCCATTTTGAACGAATATCCTGGAACCGCGTAGCGCCGGCAGCGTGAGGCGGCGGCCTCGGCGGCAGCGCCGGCGGCGCCAGCGGCACACCAGGCGCCCGCAGCGTGCGCGGCGGCGCCAGCCCGGTCCCTGGCGCACGCGGCGCCGGCGGCGCCAACGGCGCCCGCGGCGGCCGCAGCGCGCACCGCGCCAGCGGCACCAGCAGCGGCACCAGCAGCACTAGAGGCGCCCGCGGCCGCCCGCAGCGCCAGCGGCGGCCACGGCACCGGCGGCGCCGGCGGGGGCCGAGGCGCCCGCAGCGCCGGCAGCGAACACCGCGCGCACCCAAGCGAGCCGCCGCTGCCGCCGCCTCCGCGACGCTGGGGACTCCATGCTGGCTTGGCGGCGGCGCGGCAGGGCTGCGCCGCCCAGGCCACGCGGGCCAACCTTGAGCCCCCCGACCCTAGGGGAAGGAACGCCCCAGGGCGATGGCTTGAGCCAAGTGGCTACGGACTGGCGGGGATACTTTTTCCGTCGCGGCCGCAGGCGAGCGCGCCAGCGGCGTCGGAGGTCGGGCGGGCTACGCGCGAACCTCATTGTGTAGCGCACGGGGACCGACGGCCGAACCTAAGCTGCCTAAGCTGCCTAAGCTGCCGGGCTGCGCGAGGTCGTGCCAGGAAACGGGGGACTGGCGGGGGTACTTTTTGTCGCAACCGCAGGCGAGAGCGCCAGCGGCGAGTCAGGTCCGAGCGGGCCGCGCAAGAGCCCACGTTCCTAACGCCGGCGGGCCGGCGACCTCAGGCAGCGCCTCGGCGGGCGCGCCAGCGCGAGGGGGGTGCAGGCTGCAGTGGCCAGGGATCTGGCCCAGGGGGGCGCACATGCAAATTAGCCAACCAAAGTTAGGGCGCAGCCAAAATAGCGCGAAGGTCGTGTCAGGATGTGACCACGGAGGCGGCCAGTCAGTACACTGCGACGATTGCCATGGGTGCTCAACTTGGTCCAAACTGGCGCACTGTGTGGCGCCACCAAAATTGCGCACCAAATCCCCGGAGGGGAGTACTGATCCTGCGAACGTCCGGCCACGGAAGGCCCCAGGGACGGGCGAAGTATCCAGGGGCACGATGGATGTTTTCGACACCGTAAGCGCCTGAACCACCGGCTCAGGTTATGCCGCGCGCGCTCTCGAGCAGGAACCGACGACTGATTGGCGGGGATTCGCGAAGCGTCAACGTTTGAAGAGGGCCGCGGCGTTGTCAATGAAGGAGAAGACTTGCACGCCCTCCAACATGTCGGAGAAGGCGCAGTGGCCCAGAGCCACTGCCAACAACTCTGCGTGCCAATTTGCGCGTCGCCCCGCGGTGCGAACTGGGCGCAAACCTCGGGGGGGGGGGCGGCCCGGGGTCGTGCCCAGAACCGCGCGCCACGCGCTCTGACTACAGCTGTCAAGAAGCGCGCTTCCCCAGCTGCTTCGATCCACAGGTGCGCAGCGGGCCGCGAGGCCGCTCCTGCTCGCCAGGTTGCTGGGCGCAGAGCGGGGAATTCAATTCGCCGGGAACACGCTGCGCGCCGCCTTGAAGTCAATCGCCCTACTGGCATGGGGGCAGTCGACTGCGCGTGGAACGGCGCGATGAATGCGCCCCCAACCTTGTCAACTGAAACTGTCGCAGCCCAGCAGAAGCACCCGGCCAACTTCGCGGCAATGCCTGCGTCGCAGATCCCAGACGCCAGGCATTCGGACATTTGCTCTGCCCACTTATCCTTCTTGCCTGGCGACGCAGCGATGGACGCAGCGCAGATGGCCATTTCGCACGCCACCTTAGCACCTAGAGCCAGCAAGGACATCACAGACTGAGCGCTTTTCGCCGCGTCCACGGGGAGACCGAGCAGGCTCGCGAAGACCTCCAGGCACGCGCCTCTTGTGATGTTGACGCCCTGCTTGGACGCAGCAGGCCCGTGGCAGAGCTCCCTCACTAACGCAGGTAGGAACGATCCCGTGCGATGCCACGCGCACGCAGCTGACGTCGCTCCGAAAGGCATGGCATAATGATTTGCCGGGCACTTGATTCCAGCCACCACGAACGCAACCCAAGAGAACTCCAAGTACCCGCTGTAAATCGGCAGTCTGCGAAATGGCCACGACGCGTCCCTCTTGAGTGTCGGCGCCACGTTCCGATGCATAATGAGCATCAACATTGCAACCGACGCGCCCATGCTCTACGCCGCTCTCCGAGCCGCGATCACAAACGCTGGCGCGCCAACCTTTAGCCCTGAGCTCCCAGACAGCCGTTCTCCGTGATAATGAACGCCGGTCCGTCGGCAAAGAGTCAAGCAGCTCCAGCGGGCCCATGGCCCCAAGCATGTTGTCTGCGACGGGCTCTGCGAGAATGTCGCGGCCATGTGCTTGCTCCTTCATCGAGCCGAGAATTGCGCCATTGCTGTCCTGGCGACGCTGGGCTAAGAACTCTGGGGAACAAGACCGACGCCGTTTGGGGCCACCTCCTCGACGTAGATTTTGCAAGGCGGGGGCTGAACTGACTGCGGGAAAGCCGTCGCGCCAGCAGTCCACCACATGGGGGTCTTCGTAACCAATGGCCTCTCACAACTCCTTGCCGCGCGGGCCACGGGCGCCGTTCGCCAGCGGGCGGGGGCGAGAATCTGCATTGCCAGCCCACGCCGCCTGCCCTGCTTTGAGCTCGCGTCGCGCCCAGTGGGGCAAGATCTCTGACCTGAATGCGTCGATGGCCTCTGGCAGGTTGTCTGCCTCGTAGCGAAGTGCCGCGAGCCGCTCCCCACATAAGTCGCGCGCCCCAGCAGAGTGCGGGTGCTCGAGCGCGATTGCCCGCGGCACCTGCAGCACTACTGCGAGGCCCTTAGGCGAACTTAAGCCCCTGAAGACTCGAATGGCATCGAATGGATGATCCGGATCATCGGCGTGTTCTTCACTTGGCAGAGGGAACCCGCGGCCCCGCTGAGGGTCTGCGCGCGGCGCCAGCTGGCCGTTCGAAGCGCCCCCCTGCCGCTGGCGGAACGCCTCGGGCACAATCTGGCAAATTGCTTGCGTGAGGTTTGGAGGATGCATAAACGCTAAATGCACCTTGGACACCCATTCACCATCGACGACGACCGGGCCAGGCCGCGGAGGGCACAAGGGCCGCGGGCCCGATGATACAACGCCAAATGGTGAAATTGAGGAAGGTTGCGTAGAAGCTTGGTCGGCTTAGCATGCGCGGCACCAAACGCGTCGCAATGCGCTCTGGCGAAGCGCGCCCCCGGCACGCCGTAGACCAGGAGCGCGCAAAGATTGATGCTGGGCCGCTATCACAATTCGTTCATCCACGATGAAATACCTACCAGACAACTAGATCGCCAAACGCACCAATCCGGAGAAGTCTGCCAAGGCATTGCCCTCCGTCACAAGTTGCAGAGATCTGCCCGCAAGTCCGGGCGCCTCCCTCGGGAACCCTCGCGACCGCAGCGACGGTCGCTTGCCCCCAGAATTCGATTGGCGAGGCGTAGCAACATGTGCGAAACCCAGCTGGCCGCCACGGGCAAGAGGCAATATTCGCAGCAATATCGAAAAGCCCTTTCCGAGCTACACGCCCCGCGGCGCCGCGCGAGGCGCTCTGGAAAGCAAAAGCCCGACCGCGACGCCCATGCAGCCTGCAATATAATAACTTCTAGCGCCAACCAACCCTCGACGGCCACATTTCCATGCAAGACTGCCTCAGCCCTCAAAAGAAAACAATGTATCTCTGGTAACGATATGGCTGGCCTGACACGCGCGTCGCCCGCAGCCAGCTCAAGATATCCATTGGCAGAAAGCTAGGAAGGAGGCGCGAGGCCTCGCCGATGGGTTGACCCCGTCCAGACTTTGCCATGACCGCCTTTGCTTGCTGAGCCCCGGCGTTTGTCTTTCGCCTTCGGGAGGAAAGTCGGCGCGCACTTCCTCGCCGGTGGAACGTGCGACCAGGCTGCATTACAGCTGTCTCTGGGTAATTCGCCCTGCTGCGCGCGGAGTGCCTTGCTGGCCGCTTCCAGCTGCTTCCGCGCCACATCCGCCACAGCCGATTGCTTAGCCAACGCTGCGGCGGTAGCGCCCCGCAGCGCACGGTGCTCGCTGCAGCCCGCACGCCCAGGGGAGGAACCCCGACCGCCAAGGCCTGCTGGGCCCAAGACCTGGGACAATCGAGCGTTCGCTTGCTCGAAGATGACCTCTTTCACCTTCAAGCACTCCTTGTTCGAAGCGCGGGTTGCGCACGACCGCCGCAGCAGATCAGCATGCAAAATCGCCGCGCACGGCGACTGGGAGTGCTTCCTCGCCTCCTCGGCGAATTTGAGGGCGACGTCCACGCGGGCAAACAATGAAGTAAGCTTTTCGTGCTGAAAAGCTATGGCTAGCGGGATGTACCGATGGCGTGCCGCCACCCACTGATTGAGGGAACGGAATAACCTCGGCGTTTGCGCGGCAGTTTTGCGCGCGTTGCCCAATTTGAGTCAGTGAGTGAGCCTGCTCGAGGGCCCAAAGCCCAATCCGCAAACGAGCCATAACCGGCTTTTGCGCCTACCCTTTCTGGCGGAATCCACACGGGGGAGTGAGGGTCGGTAGCGGAGAGTGGTGGAGAGTTGGGCCGTGGGGCTAGCCGGAGTTCAATCGGTCTCTTTCCTGGTAGCGGCGGCAAAGTCTCAAAACGAATGTGCGCGTCGCTACCACGCGGGCCTCATATTGGAAGCGTACGTTTCTCCACCATTGTCATTGATGACAGTTCTTAGGACGAGCGAGCGCGGAGTTAAGGCGAAAGCCACATTTGGAACAACGCGTTGACCCCCCGTACATGTAGCTGTTTTGGGTTTCCAACAATGCTTTGCGCGGTGCTTCTGCGAACTCCCGTGTTTGAGAAGACTTCCCCTCAACCCGTGTGGGCGCCACATTTTGCGAGTTTCAAGGTCACTCGTGGTGGGGACTCGGGCGAAATGCTCAGCCCGCCCGGACCTCCTTACCGACATGCCTGTGGGCGCGACATGGATAAGTAGACATGGTGGACAAAGGAGGCGGAGCAGGATGAACTGCTTGGGTTGGTTTCAGTCTACAACAGGCCGCCACTGGACATCGTGGAATCGTCGTTCAGCGTGGCTGAATCCCAGAAGGCGCTGCGAGACCTCATCACTGACGCTGCGCAGGCAGGCGCCGACGACTGGGAGAAGACCTTCAGCCCGCGCGTGGCTTGGCACCGGCACCCGCTAAGGCAATACAGCCACTACCAAAATGTGCCGCTCATAAACGAAGAGAGGCGGAGGAGTTTTTTGCACTCGGGGGCAAACGGCACGCCGAGCCTAGGGGCCTCCAACCTCTGGCGCTGGAGGCCTTCTTACAACTCGGTGCCCTAGAAGAGCTGAGGGCCTGAAATGGAGAGACGTTGTCGAAAAGGGTCACCTGACTCATAAGGAGTACATGGCAACAGACGACGCCTCACAGCATACTTCTCATCGATGTTGGTGAGAGGGGATGGGGGAGGAGAAGGAGGAGGAGTGGAGGAACAGGGTGGGATGAGTAGGAGGAGGAGTTGGGAGGAGTTGGGCGGAGGAGCAGGAGGAGAAGGAGGAGGAGGAGGAGGAAATGGAAGAGCGGGCAGGGGAGGGCTGAGGAGGAGGAGGAGGAGAATGAAGAGGCCCTTGAGGGGTAGGGCCGCCACGGCAGGATCAGGTCGACGCGACGCACCGGGCCGTGGTGGAGGCGGTGCGGGACCTGTACGAGCGCTACAAGGGAACCTACGGCTGGGACTCCCGCGAGCTCGTCGTGGGTTGACTTGGGGAGGCCATTCGATCCCTTCTCCCTTCTTCCCTCCCGCTTGAGAGGAGGAGGAGAAGGAGGAGGAGGAGGAGGAGGAGGAGGGGGAGGAGGATTAGGAGGAGGAGGAGGAGGAGGAGTCTGGGCCAAGGGAACTTTTCGCTCTGGGCGTCTCCGCCCCATTTCGGGCCCGGGCCTCGGGGCCATCACAGGCCGAGCCGTCCCGAAAGAGGCAGCAGACCGATGGGGTCCAGAGTCTCGGGTTCCAGTCGTGCTCTGTCGTCATGCTCCATTCTTTGGCAGCGCCAGATCTCAGAGTCCCGTCCCTCCCTCCCCCTCCTCTTCCTCCTCCTCCTCCTCCTTGGCCCCTCCGCCTCTTCCCGTTCCTCCTCCTCCTCCTCGTCCCTCCCTCCTCCTGTCTCCCTCCGAATCTTCCTCCGCCTCTTCCTTCGCCCCTGCTCCTCCTCCAGTCTGATCAATTCAGGTGCTCTGCGGCCGTTGTTTAGGCCACATGGACTCGTCCTCCTCCCCCGCCTCCTCGAGGATCGGGGGTATGGGGCTGTTCGATATGAGTGAAAACGAGCACCATACCCGTCTCGCACATCCGACGCGCGGCTGCCGCCTGACCCCAAGTGCCATGGTGATCCCTGGGGATCCTGCCTCGCATCTTGGAACATGAAGACTGCATATCGCGGCCGCCAGGCCCCCAGTGTCCCAATGATCTCTGGGGAGCCCGTCTCGCCTCTTCGACCACTGGCGACATGACGGGCACGCGTACATGTCGAGCAGACATGATAGTGCTTACACGCACACACGATGCAGGACATTCAGGCAGGAGCAACACGCATCAATACATGCATACACGACAGGCCTAAGTGTGCGACTTTTGATTCAAAAAAATAGCAACTGCCCGATGAGCAGGGCACCACCCCTCCCCCCTTACCAAGGGCAGGTTGTGGCACGCGTACAACGAGTTTTGTTCGCGCGGGCCTGGTTGCGCAAGCGACGGGCATGACCCCCCCCCTCTTCCCCCTTCGGCTGCCCTCTGATCCGCGTGATGCCCCTGTCGTTCGTGGAACCGCGCTTGCTTAAGTCACCTGCGTCCCCTCACCCCCCTTTCCCACCCGACTACGGCGCTGCAGGTGGCCGCGCATTCTCGCGTGGTCATCGGGAAATAATGCAGGACCGCGATTTCAGAATAAGGAAACAGCGCAGAACTGTGATTTAGGAAGAAGGGACAAATTAACCAGGATTCAGGAGCTGGGAAATTATGCAGGATCTCTATTTAGGAAGAAGGAGAATGGACAGAATCGCGACCTAGGAAGAAGGGACTGTCGCGGTTTTGGAACAAGGACGCAATTCAGAATCGCGACTTAGGGATAAGGAAACAGCGCAGAATTGCGATTCGGGAGTCCTATGAACGCGGTCGCGTGAATGCTGCGACGGTGCACCTTTGCGCCGTTTTCAGCGCGCAGAGCTTTTCTCGTCTCGCCACGACCAGGGGCGGCCCACCCGGGGAACACTCAGGCTGCGCTCCACCGTGCTGCTGCTGCGCGCTCTCCTGCCCCGAACCGCCGGCTCCGCGGGAGCCTCCCTGGCAGCAGTCGGTGATTGTCGAGGCCTCACCGCCTGCACCGCCGACCCCCCGCGGGCGCCCCCCCCCCCCCCCCCCCCGCGATGATCCGCGTGGGCCCCGGGGGGGGGGGGCCGTGCTCTGGCCAGGGACCACCCCGCCCCGCCACAGGCACCGTCTTCCCTGGGACCCCCCCTCCAGGAACCCCCCTCCCGCATGGCCCCCCTCCTCTGGATTCCTTGTCCTCGGGGGGGGCAGGGGAGGGGAGGGGAGGGGGCGCAAGGACCCCCCCGGGGTGTAACAATCTGACCGGGGCCCCCCTCCCTGACCCCCCCCCCCCCGACCTGCACCCCCACACCCCCCGCCGTCAAGGAGGGGAAAGGGGAGATCATCGACTTAACGATGTTTCTTTTTCAGCATTCGTCTGTCTCCACCCCCCAAGATCCTGGCGCTGAAGAACTTCTTCACAACCAGCTTTTTCACCCGGTTTCGGGCCTCTGGGCCCTCGCGGATCGTGCCGGCTCGTCAGATGACGCAGCAAGATGGGGTCCGGAGTCTTGCCGTATATTGTTTTCGATGTTGCAATGTTTCGCGACGTCAGATTTGAGGGCCCCTTCCCCCTCCTTCTCGTCCTCCCCTTCCATTCCCCTTCCTCCCCCTCCTCCACCTTCTCCCCCTCCTCCGACAGGCGGCCGACTGCAAATCCAACCTCTCGTCGAACGGCAACACCGACAGCCAGCCGACGGCGACGCAGGCCGCCAGTCAGACGGCAACGCAGGCAGCGCGCGACTACCGCTCCGACGGCCAGACCGACCTCCAGTCCGTCGACACCGCTGGCCTTCCCCGTCTTTCTTCTCCACTCCCCGTCTTTCTTCTGACGGAGCAGGAGGTGGAGGGGGCATATAGGAGAGGGAGGACGGAGTAGCACGAGGAGGAGGACCCCCTCATTCGCCCACCGTCCGCATCTCTCTCCATCCCTCTCACTTCCTCCCCTTCCCACCCCCTTGCCCTGGCCTCCCCCATGGCCCCTTCCTTCCCTGCACCATTCACCCCTCCTCCCTTCCCACCCTCCCTCCCTCCTTCCCTCCCGCTTACCCCTGCTCCCCCTCATCCGTGTACCGGGCACGGCGACGCAGCTCGAATTCTGGAGCAGGGTGATTGCGGCCATTCGCTGCTTCCTCGCCTCCTCCCGACTAGGGTAGTGCCCAGCGTTCCGTGTGTGGTCGCGAGTCTCTTTGGGGACCTGTCCAGGAGGTGCCGTTCGCCCGCGAGCGTGAGCAGTCGGTACGATTGGGATGGGTATCCACACGATGGTGTCGAAGATGGACGGCAGTTCCTGTCCACTGTAAGCACTACTCGTTGGTGGTGCCGCAGCGGGCGTTGTCCGTCTGAGGCAGAGAGCGGCCACTGTCGGCTTGGGAGAGCGTTTGCTGTTGTGCGCTGAGCAGGAGCTTTTCCGTCCCTGCCGAGCGAAGGCGTGCAAAAGGTATTTTCGATGCCGCGTGGGCTTCGGGATACTTGTCGGGCCTCTTGGGGGGGGAGGGGTGCTCGGGGGGCCTGTTTGGCGCCTCTGGCGTGGCGGTCTCGAGGGGAATCTGGGCACGAGAGGACTTGTGCGGGCAGGCTCGGGCTCACCCCTCGGGGGCCGACGTCGCCGAGAAGCATCATGCCGCTCGGTCGAGGGAACGACGACCCAAAGCGAGAGTTGCGGCGACTCAGACCTCCTGCCTGTTCTTATGGGCCTGTTTTCCACCACCACCACCACCATATGTTGGAGGGGCTGGGGGTCCTCCTCCTCCTCTTCCTCCTTCTCCACCTCCGCCTCCTCCCCTTCTTCCTCCTACTCCTCCACCTCCTTCCCTCCTCCAACTTGTGGTGGTGAAGGTGGAAAACAGGCCCATCATGTTCTCGAGTCGTCGCGGCACAGGTCCTCGCTTCAGGGCCGCCTGAGCGGACGGGTGGACCGTGGCCGCGGCTGCACGGGGAGAGGCGCGCGGGAGAACCCGCGACCGCCCAGTGGCAAAGAAGTTGCTTGCAGCTGCCCTCCTCCTCCCCCTCCTCATCCCTCTGTTCCTCCTCCCCTTCCTCATCCGCAGCGCAGTGAGACTCCTGCAAGCCGTGAGACTCGTGCAGACTTGCGCATCATGCGCGGACCAGGTCTCCCAGCTCACATGACGAGAGGAGGATCTGGAGTCAGGCGTCACAGGGCGAAGTCCAGAAGAGCCTCAGGGAAGGCCCCTTGCGGGCCATGGCCTTGCGATCAATCTCGGCTTTGCTGTCAGCCTTGGGGAAGAGACCCCGCTCGAGGAGGAGGAGGAGGAGGAGCAGGAGGAGGAGAAGCAGGAGGAAGATGATGAGGAGGAGGTCTCTAGAGTGCGCTTTCACCGATGCCTCTCCGCATGTTCGTCCTCTGCGCGACCCCACTGCAGTCTGCGGGGGTGTCCTTGAGGGCCAGCCTAAAGCCGCGCAGAAAGATGCATTTGCTAGGAGCCCAAATGTGGTACAACGCACTGTTGCTACTCCCCTCATGGCCCCTCCCCTCACCTGCTCCCCCTGGCTCCTAACACTCGCGGCAACTTCAAACAGAAACAAGCCAGATGAGGGATACGTCGGAGATAAAATTCGAGGACCTGCCCATCCCCCCGAAGTCCTCATCATTTATCCGACCCCGACGAATGTGATGAAATCGACTCCCAGCGGCATGCCAGCACAGTGCCTAGCTCGGCCCTCCAGCCCCTATGCTGAGCGAGCTGCTGGGGAAAGATCTGGCAGATGGCCGCAAACTCATCCCACCTGGCATCCTCGATGCCTCCTCTCCTCTCCACCTCCAACTTTTCTCCTCCGCTCATTCACGAGTGTGGTGCCTCGACGGCGGCGTGCCGGCCAGGAGTCCAGCTCACCCCACCCACGGCCCTAGGATGGGAGAGCTGCTGGAGAATGCCAGGCAGAAGGCCGCGAAATGCATCGTTTTTCCTCCTCCCCTCCCTTCCTCCTCATCACCTCCCCCCTCATGAGTGCGGTCTCTTGACGGAGGCGTGCCAGCACGGCGTCTAGCTCGGCACCTTCTCGCCACGGCGGCGCACGGGCCCCGCGTCGAGCCTGCCCCTCCAAGGCCCAAGCGCCGAGCATACGCGTGGGAAGTGCGATGGAGCGGCGCTGAAAGCTCCTCATCCCTCAAATCATTCCTCAACTCCTCCCCTCAAGGCCCAACCGAACCGAACCCCCCCTCAAGACTCGCGCCTGGGCGATCAGCCTGCGAGGCTTCACCAGCTCAGGACGGCCGGGTGGCTCCACTAATTGGGCAAGGCGCGGCGACCACCTCCCCCCTGGATGGCCCGCCACGCCGTCAAGGTGACGGTGCCGGCAGACACTGATGCGGCAGAAAATTAGGCACAATTCGTGAGCTGCACTGGCACTCCAGCCGACTGAGCGAACAGTTCTCGCTGCCGGGCTGTATAGAAATGAGTCTGATGTTTGCAACAATTACGGAGACGTGCGGATTCGAAGAATCTCTAGACAAAACCCTCCCGCAATGAACGCACAGACAGCGATCGCTGCCATAATAGACAAAGCACGATTGTCAGACGCAAGACCTACCGACACCTGCTTGCCTTGACGGCTGGACGGGGGAGGGCGGGAGGAGCAGGCAGAGAAAGAGGAAGAGGAAGAGGACGTCGAGGGGGAACGGCACTGTCCATGCTGCGGCCCTCACTGCAGACCCGCCGACACCGAGAAGAGCTCCTGGGCACGGGCCTCCCGGTTCCTCGGCGGCTGCATGCCAGACGCGTGGTGGCGGAAGAGTGCCACCACAGCCGCGTTGACGGTCCGGTCCGTGACCTTAGCCAGCAAGGCCTTCAGCAACTCGGGCTCGGACCCTCCTCCTAACTTGACCTTGTGCTGGAGCTCGGCCTCGATCCACCGAATCTTGTCCGGCGTGAGGGTCGCCGGGGGCGTCGGAGGCACTTGCTATGATCCCCCGCCGGCAGGCGGGTAGTCTCCCCGCTGCGGCCCTGGTGGCCCAGCAGCGGGCGGCTGGATCACGGCCTCGAGCGCCTCCTCGAAGTTCGAACTCATGGCCGCCGCGAGGATGCGGCCCTGCTCCTGGAGGTTCTCCTCCTCACGCCGCTCTTAGTCCGCCAGATATTTCTGGTATCCCATGGAGGAGTCACGAACCAACTCCTTGGCCTTCTCCAGACACCTCTGAAGGCGAGCCACCGACGAGCTTGGGGAGGAGGACCGGCTCCGGGTCTCGTGCCATCCGCGACGACCTCCGCCGTGGTCCCTCTCACTCCCTCGGTCGGGTCCCGTCCGTCCCTGCGCCACCCGCCACCGCCGCCGCCTCCGCCGCCACCGCCTCCTGGATTGCCCCCGCCACCTCCGCCGCCGCCCCTCCCCCTGGCGCCGTCACGTCGGTCATGCATCTCTCGCGCTCGAAGCCACGCACGTACTGTTGTGCACGCGGTATGCACGGCTGGGTTGGATGCTGGCAGACTGTGCACTAGGGCCCTCAAAAGGTTGCAGGGATAGCCCAGGATGTGCAATTCGACGAAGGTCTCCAGCAAGAACACCAACGAGAAACCGTGCCCCGCCCCCAGCTGTCTGCAACGCGCCACACGCCCCATGATATCATCCCTGCAAAAGAAGTTGGCATGTGGCCAGTCCAGGATACGAACGGCGATGCCAAGAGGGACGTTTCAAAATAAGACGTCGGCAAAACCCCCTGCAAGAGGTTACGGTTAGCGTTCTTCGGGACGACAACGAGGTTCTGCCCGTGCACCCGAAGCTCGACACCAACCCACGGCACCACGCCCCCAGACTCGTCGGACCAGCACGCAACATAGAGCTGCTCAGCGAACGCCCCTCTCACGAACTCAGCGACACATTGGCAACACCAGCCACGACTGGCCGCGATGACGTCGTCCACGTACCTTTGCCACCAAATGCACTGTCTCGCGGACCAAGGATGGAAGGAGAAACCGGCGGCAGCGTGGTCAGACCCGGGCTGGAAGTACACCCGCTCCTGGTGGCCGAGAGCAATGGCCACGCATATTGTGCTCATGACTCCTCCAATCGGTAGACCAGATTTCGTAATAAAGGGAGGGGGGTCTCATTTCGGGGGGGGGTCTCTTCCAGGCTATCTTGGAGGGCCTGGGGTGGTCTGGGGACGATGTTTTGGAGGGTTCTCCCACGAGGGGGGGTCTGAAATGGCTTGTCCTGGAGGGTCCAGACCCCCTCCCTTTTATTACGAAATCTGGAGTAGACCTGCACATGAGAAAACCACAGAACCCAAGCAGACGTAGGAAGCGACAGAGAACGCCATCAGGGCCTTCGCTAGGTCCCATGTTGATAAGGGTATCCACCCTGATCCGAATCCGTGGCCATCCACGCGCGCGTCCGCCTTCTGGCCCTTTCGCACGAACACGCGGGGCCCGTGGAGCTCCTCAAAGGCACTGGCGAATCCAGCCCACGCTGGTAGGACCTTCGAAGCACTGCACGCTTCAAATGCTTGATCAACGTCCAGTGCGACTATGGATACCTGTCCATTCAGCGGCGCTTGGCACCAGCAACGCCGCTCTGTCGCTGGGCGCGTGAGCCCCGCCATCAACTCCAGCGCGCGGCGAACTTGGTGGAGCCCAAAGACTTCGAGCGTGACGCCAGACTTCTCGATGACAGCCTGGGCCCCTCGCTCCAGATACTGCCACGCCATCTGGAACGGGCCTCGAGACGTGTCCACGACCCGCCGCCAGCATGAGTGAAGTGGCTTTTCACACTGGCGCGTGCCGCCGTCCAGGAAACACTTCGATCTGATGAGGGGAAACACCGAAGGGGCAATGCTGGATTTCTCGCAGGCCTTCTGTAGGAACGCAGGGATGCCCCACTTGGCTCGAGCCCACAAGAATGTTTCCACTTCTCGCACAGACAACTGCTCCCGCTTCCAATTCGGATCTGCCAACATGGCTTTCAAAATATAAGAAAGCCCCTTGTGCATCGACGGTCCAAGCCTTTGTTCTGGTCGCGATCATCCCCGACGATCAACTGCTGTCGCTGGACGGCGCTTGCCAATGGCGCCTCCATCTCCGCCCACTCTGCTGGTGCCTTCGGGAATTGCTGCGCGGATGACCACCCCCTCCACGCCTCGGCGGCCAGACCGCCGGTCTCGCGTTGGTAATCTGACGGCCGCGGCTCACGCATGCCACCTTGCGACAAGACGGCTCCGAAGTCCTTTCGCGCCTGGCCACCGAGACAATCTCCACTGACCTGGACTGGCACGTAACGACGCTACCAGGGCCTTCTGGGCTAAGTCTTCATGGCTGGAATCATTGAAATTGCTGAGGCCCATCTGCTGCAGCTCTCGGTTGGCGTTGAAGCTGTCTGCCCACCGCGGAGTGCGTTCAGCAATGAAGTGGACGTGGGAGCGAATCCATTCTCGCGCTGGTGCGCACTGGATCTCGTCCAGCGTCCCCGCGAGAATCCACCTCAACGCGCCGCGCTTGCGGTCGAGCGCGGCAGGGACGCTCCAGGGTGGAATCCGCAACGGTGGGAGCTGATGCCATTGCGACCCCGCACGGCCAGGCGACGGCAAATGCCTGGAATGGCCAGGCACAGGTTCCCACATTTGTACAAGAAACTTGCAATCTCCCATTTCCGCCACGATTCTGGGAATCGAATGTGAAGCTGGCGGCACGCTGGGTAAGACAGCAACGAGTTCTCTCGGCCAGCGCCGTACAAGTACGACGGACCAAACTTCCGAGTCTGCGCCACGTGCTCCTGAAGCTGCAAGAAGTATAACCGGGGAAAGGAACTCCACGGCACCTGTCGGGGGAGCGTAAGACCCGGGTTTGCCAGGTTTCGGGTTCGCCATCGTTTTTTGACGACCGCGCCTCGGATTCTGACGAGGAGGAGTTTCGTGGGATGTCTGCAGCGGGAGGCCTCGTCAAAATGCAGGCTCGGCCTCGTCATTTTTTTGACGATCTCGTCGGGGATTTCCGAGTCCCCTGTACCCAGGTCTTACGTCCCCCTGAACCTGATCCGCC